CATCTCAGCAAGTTAGGTAAACGGTAGAATTGTTGGGGCGAGTGTGTTTGAACCCCTTTTTCTTATTTTGCTATTTGAAAGTTGGTTTATTCACTTGTAACTCTGCTGGCTTTATTTTCATTAAATGACTACCCGCCAAACCTCAGGCTACGAAGCCTACGAGTGACAGTCGACAGCTCGTCACACCAGGCGTAAGGGATATCGCCATGGAACAGATAGGGAGACTGAGGGATAAGCTTTTTGAATAAATCCTTTAAATTGGCCTAACTGTAAGTCAAGCCTGTTCATTCCTCTCTTTTGATTGTCACTACAAAATATTACACAGAAAATGAAATAATTATAATGGAAGAAATGGCTAAATGGCTGTCAGATTGTTTCCAAAGTCCATCTTACCTCGGAAAATAGCAAGTCTCTAAATAAATTATTGAGCTCTTGGCGGGCTAGTAGAACCATTCACTTTGTAGTTATCACCTTTTGAGCTGATATTGGCTACAGATGCAGTCTAGTTTCGGCGGTTTCGAGTTTCGAGTTTCCACGGCCTTGTCCAAAACAAGCGTAGACGCTGGTCAGACTTCGTATACAATAGCAGTCACATCCCTTTTGATTTCGCTTTGCCATGTTAAAAACAAACACGTGGATACACGGCCAGTATACCAAACAAAACAAGGTGCACAACACCGTAATGAGACTTCGCACTATCAGCTTGCAAAAAGAGTTCATAACCTGCGTAAATGGTAATAACGTAGAGCGGGAAATTAAGAAAAAAAAATTGCGACAAACTCGTCAAATAAACAAATTTGTTTACAGAAAGTATGAGGCATGGCTAAACCACTAGGGACCTCACCTTCGGTGGATTACTTTCGATTACGATCAATGTTTCTGTTCAATTGAATTTGTCACAGTTCACTTCACAATTTCACGATCAGTGCGGTAAGCCACATGAGGAGTTTTAGAAACATTGAGTGCTGAATTTACTCCATACCATAGAATATGCAGGTAATCGGTGGAGCTTTTGGACATGTTCAGGGACTGAAAAGTTTGAAAAGAACTTACTCAGCATGTGTCTCGGACCCAAAGAAAACAACAGCATTAACAAAACCAACGAACCGAGCTAAACGATCTAACTTTATCGACGGATCTAATCGCAGCTTACTAACCACAATTGAGCTGCACCACGTCAGTTTTACAAGCATTTCGGAAAAACTGATGACAAATTAGTCAGTTTTCTTCAGCCAAACTGATATGTTTTATTTGTTTTGTTTTGTTTTGTTTTAACGACTTTACCAGGTGTGACTAGACCCGGAAGGGTTAGTGCGAATGGATATCAGTCCACTGATAAAACAACAATGATAAATTCTGCCCAGATGGTCAAAACGTCACGCAGCAACACCAGTCGTTTTTAGAACTACACCAGCTACTGCTATCGAACACCAGGAAAACAGGCCCTTTGCTCTAACACCAGCCTATTAATTTAATTGAGGCTCGATTTCCTATACTTAACACAAGCCTTATCGAATTTTGTAATTTACCTACGTGCAATATTAAAAAATTAAAACCCAATATTCTTTAGTACTACATATGAAGCGCTATAAATTGGCCCAGTTGTGCCTGAGTAAAAACGTATGATAAGTAAGTATCTCATATGCTTTTCTGATTTTTTTTATCAGGAAAACGTCTATCAGTACGTGAGAAATTCATCACCTCTATCTACAATCTGTTTGCTACATGTTTCAACCAAAGGTAAGTTTGACCTTACACGTGGCCGTATAGTATTTAGAAGCATGCTGAGTAGACTCCTTTCACTCTTTTTCTTTTCTGCAAAAGTATTTCAACCAGAACGAGAGAATTTAATGAAAAAAACAGCTCTTCATCCAACTGCACTCCGTAGAGTACAAATAACGCCATAGACGAGTACAGATATACCATGCGGTATTTGTACTCCAGAGAACCGGTTAGACAGGTTTTCTCGTAACGCGCAAGCGAAGAATTGGTTTTAGGTTAAGAAAAAAAAAATTGGCGGACAATTTGAATCATATTTCTGGAGACGAAGAGTCGGAATGGCTGGTAAATATAAATCCAAGTTTATTAGATGAATAGAACGAAGGTAGACGACCAGCTAATGTTTTCATTAGTCGGATAACCGACTATATAGGTTCACCCTCGTATTTCTCCTCAAAGCCCAGTCACGTGCAATGGGAAATACCGCAGACACCTAATAAGGGCGCACCCTTCTTTCCACGATGCCGAAGATGGCAGATATGTCGATTATGTTAACAAATGGTGTCATCTTTTCAACGCTCAAGCATACAGACCCACTCACCGTTCGCGGCAGACCCACTCTAAAAGATGGCGTGTGTAATGAGCGTATGTTTCGAAACGGGTCGTTCCGCGAACTCAAAATAGCAAAAGAATCAGGTGATTTAGCGAAGGTCTCACTAGAATCAAACCAGAAATCAAATGAGTTAAATGTGGACAGATCGTGACAGAAGAACATTTGCCAATAAAACCAAGGTGCCTCGTGATCAAACTCTGGGAAACGAAAACAATGACGCCATGTTGAACTTTCATCAGAGTGAGGATAAACGCAATTGTTATATTTATGGGACCTTTATCGTTATTGTCAAGCTTACATTTGTTGTTTTTGCTCAAACAGAGTACGTAATCAGCTGTTTTTTCTATTTGTTCCATTAGTTTTGTCGCTTTCTTGCGTATATTATATTCGCATATTGTTGCGCAGGAATGTCTGTTTGGTACCAAATAACGTGGTGTCGGACATGATGATGTATTGGACAAAGTAGCGCCATGTATATGTTGTAGTTCAATTTTATCCTTGGTTCAAATTTTATTTTCCTTTGTTTCAAACTCATTATCATACATTAACATGACCAAGAACAAAGAAAAATAAAATTTGAACCAAGTATAAAATTGGACAACAACATATACAACAAAAGTGTGATGAATCAGCGTTGTGTGTACACAAAAAAAGATGTTGCTAAAGAAAGAACTGCTTGTTACAAAAAGCGTTTTTTATCTGATGTCCCTTACAGGGCACCGTAAATAACAATTTGGCGTGTTGGATAATAAATAACGCGTTAATACTCGTTATTCGTTTTTGACTCGCCCTACGGGTTCTTTAAAATACGGCACAACTCGTGAAAATACTCAGCGATGCTAAGCAACAAAACGTCTGACAAGATTTATTAATAGACAGAGAAAATTGTGTTACTCTTTCTTAAGCATCATCTTAAAATTGTTCCTAGGGAAATCCGGGCCAGAGAAAATCGATGAGTTTGAATGACCCGAGATCTGGCGAACATAATCCAGACCTTAAGTCAAGACTTTCAAGGTTCTCTCGGTTTTTTCGAGGAAAAGGTGTAAAAAAAGAAAAGATTGACCCAGAACTTGAAGTCAATCAAAGAGTTGTGACATTTATCGAGGACGATGTATCCAGAGGAACTATTCGTCATATTGGTGAGGAGAAAGACTCCAATGGAATTGTTCAAAAGATTCTTGGCCTAGAAATGGTAAGACCTGTACTTATAAGAGTTTTGTTTGTGATTAAGAGTAATGATAGAAAAAAGTATTAATATCTAAGATTCAGTTATACGGGAATGAGAACGTCTTAATCTCATTACAGTATGCTTTAACCGAGAGAAAGAACACTATACTTCTACAAATTCAACTACTTTATCAAACAACGCGTAATATTCTTACTAGGGAGTGGCTCTTAAAGGTAGTAAAGAAATTATCCTTAAAAAACTTTCTTAAGCCCACTATAGTCTATATCTTAGCTCACCACTGACGCAATCTCACAGTAGTTACTTTGCTCTCTCCTGATATAGCTTTTTGAACAATCAGTCACTTCCAACAACAACAACTAACTACTAATACGCGACATACATTTACAAGGTATTCTAGAGCATTCCGAAAGCTTAAAACACAACGAACTATTTTAGTAGGATTACATCATAACTACGTGACCTAATAGAATGATTTAGAAAGTTCCATGGCATGCGCGTTGGCATGATTAGGCATTCTAGAAATTTTTATCTACTTATTTTTAGAGTCACTAAAGAGTCGCAATATTGTATGACTTAAAATGATGTTCTCTGAGAGTAATAGCTCCTGAGCCATATGCAAAGATCTTGGGGTCAGCCATTTGAACAGGATTAGTGCCAGCTGCTTTCATCGTCTTCTAGTGATAGGTTATGTTTTAACTTCAGGGATGACTAGGTTTTTGGAATTGTGGTATTTGTCTCCTTTTTAATTGGCAGTATTTTGGCCTGATTTCTTTAGTGAACACTTTCCCACCGCTTAGGGCTGAAAAGCAGCCTTGCAGATTGAAAGCGCTGAAATGGACTCATTTCTTGGAGTTTCATTTCATGTGAGGTTTTTTTTTTGCCAGTAAGTTGGTAAAAATCGTCTCTTGTATAGTTGCACAGATTTTCTAGTGACTTTTGTGATATTCTAGTAAAGATAAATTACTGAAATTAATTTTTTTAAACTTCGGCCAGGATAAAATGATCAGCATAGGTGGATGTGGCAGAAGGAACGGAAGACGGTTATTTTCTTGTGAAGAAGGTTTTTCCTTGTTTATTCCTGTGGAATCTGTTATGCTAGAAAGAGAGTTTGACGCTGAACCTGAAGCGCTTGAAACACCTGAAGAAGAAGAAGAAGAGAGTTCTGAGGAATTCGATTCGCAGTCCGACGATGATTCGTCAGGTAAGTAACAATAGTCTTCTGAACACAAAGTTAATTATGTTAGGTGAACCGTAGAGTTATCTATGTATGAAACACAGGTGCAAAACTTAATCATCAACGACTATAACAGCGACAATAAATGAAGGCTTGCATTGTCAGGACAAAAATCACTGGTCTGCAGAAAGACACCATCATTTATTTTTTTCCTTTTTTTCAAATCAAATACATGTGGCACTTCTTCGCTTCCCAGGAGTTCATCTGGTCTTCTAAAGAGGATGCTTATAGGTGGTTAGCTCTTTTGAAAAATAATTCATCACCCTATCATAAGGAAAATTTAGCTTTTAGTTTTGTCATTTGGATTTATTCTTAGAAATGGGTATAGACAAAGTTTCTGTCGAGAGGAAGCTTGAAGTCGAACAGGACCATTGCACACCATCAAACCCACAAGAGGAAGAATATAGAGAATGGAAAGAATACTGGAAAATGCAGTCAACTACGTTACAAGAAGGGATGACCAATTGCAAAGTTGAATCTGATCACGTGTGGGATGAAACAGTCACGTTATATGGACAGCTCGTGGAACAGAGCATTACTGTAAGCAGTGAGTCTTTGGCACAGGGATTAACGGGTTCTGGTACAGACTTGGATGAGGAAACGAAACATCAGAACAATGAGGTTTTGGAACTACAAGTAAAGGAGGAACAACTTGTGAAAGAGGAACAAGAAGCTGTTCCTAGCAAAGCACTTCAAGATGGCGAGAAACAGCAAAATAATGCACTTGGACAAACGAAAAATGCTGAAGAAGACCTTAAAATCTCCCAGGATGACTTTTCCATTACGGCTGTTAGATTGCACGAAGCAGAGGAAGAGGAAGAGCGAAGAGTGGAAAACTTGTCAACAGATTTAAGTGAGACTGAACAAAGATTAAGAAAAGAACTTATAAGGACAGAAATTAGAGTGGTTTTGTTGAACAATCAGCTCATGATTAAGCAACAGCAAGTGAAAAACTTTCAGAGAAAAGTTGAGACGATGGAGCAACAGTTGACAGTAAGGGAACATCAAAAAGAGACTTTTCGAACACAACGGGATAAAGAGCAAAGATTGCTGGAGGAATTAAACGAAAAGGAGACGACAGAAATTCTGCTACGGAAACAGCTCAGAGGAAAGGATTGTTTAGAAGTAAGCCTCCGAAGACAGCTGAGTGAAAAAGGGCAACAATTGGAGGAGAAAGACAAGGGAGATGAAACTCTACGAGAAGAGTTTAGGGAAATGGAAGGAAGGTTGAGGGAAGAAATAACAGAGAAAGATGCGAGACAAGTAGTTTTGTGTGAACAATTCAAAGAAAAGGACCAGCAATTGAAGGAGATGAAACAACAGTTGACAGCGACAGAGGAGCGAGAAGAAGATCTCAAGACGCAAATAAGAAATGTAGAAGAACAGTTGAGAAAAAATGAGGATCGAGTCGAAAATTTGCGAACGAACCTCAGAGATGCAGAGCAACGATTAACACAGAACGAAGCACAAGAGGAAAATTTACGTTCAATTCTAAAGCTGACGGAGGAACGGATGAGAGAAGAATTAGCAGAAAAGGAAACGAGAGAAACTGAGTTGTGCGAACAGCTTAGAGAAAACGAGAAGCGGACTCTCGACCTACAGAGACGCTTGAGCGAGATGGAACAGCAATTGTCAGANTAGGAACACAGTCCCATGACTGGGTTATTTCCCGGGATGACATTCAGTTGACGGGTAAAAGCCTTGGAGTTGGAGGCTGGGGCGAAGTTTTTGAGGGCAAGTACTGCGGCTGTTTTGTTGCCGTGAAACGAATCCATGAGGAAATCAATTCGCCTTACAACCAGAGTTTGTTCCAGAGAGAAATAGATATTGCTTCGCGATGCCGACACCCTTGCCTGCTGCAGTTTATTGGAGCGACTAATGACGCGGAAATTCCATTGTTTGTTACAGAGCTGATGGAATCAAATTTGCGCGAACTACTGAGACAACGATCTCTTTCCCACAGAGAAATCGCCATAATTTCGCTTGATGTGGCTCAAGCGTTGAACTACCTCCACCAAAAGAAACCTTTTCCTATTTTTCACCGCGATGTCAGCAGTGGTAATGTGTTGCTATGGCGACAGGATGACCAATGGCGGGGCAAAGTGTCCGATTATGGTTCTGCTAAGTTTGAGGAACAGTTCATGTCAATTGGCCCAGGGTGTTTTGCCTACAGTGCACCTGAAGTCCAGAGACCAGCAAACCAGACAGCAAAGGTAAGTCAATGAGCTTACAGAATTTCTTGGAGATTTTTTAATATAGGTCCTTTGCAATTAAGAATCACATAATCACATGGTACTTGTGCAACTTACGTTTTAGTTGTGTGCTTGGTCAACTCAAAGACCTTTGAAAATAGTGATCTTATTTTATTGTCTTCTCTTGTCCTGCTTTTTAGATTGATGTCTACAGTTTCGGCGTTCTCCTCTGTGAAATGTGCATTCAGACTTTCCCAGATTATCAAAACCGTGAACGTCAAATCGCTCTGGTAAAAGACCGTGTATTGCAAGACCTCGTCCGCCGATGTCTACTGTCAGATCCCAGTGAAAGACCAGACATGACAGAGATTGTCAGTACGCTGGAACAGTTCAATGAAACGTTGTAGGTTTGTCGGGTATGCTTTTACATCACCTATTCTTTAATTTTTAAAACTGTCCAATTAAGGATTAATTTGTATAGTTTGAAACTATCCAATTTAATCCTTAATAAGACAGTTTTAAAAAGTTAGAATGGAAAAAAATGGACGGCATGTTGTCCTCTTACATGTACTATTTCAGTACTCTAAGCGTTACAATACTAAAGATGGAGGGTTTATTTTGGAAAAAAACTATAAGCTAGGAGTCGTTGACAATGCTATGGAGGGTTAAATTGCTCAAAATAATCGCTTTTTATACACTAAAAGATAATTTTCAAGTTTATGGATGAAGATAAAGCAAAACTTTACAGAAAAACTTTGCAATTCAACAACAGTTATTTTTACATATTGCTATAATAAGTATTTTTTTAAGAAAAATTAAAAAAAAATTCTTACAGTGTCAAAATCCCCGGCAAATGATGCTGTTCTCGACTCTTTGAAACCAAGAGTCCAGTCATACTCACGTGCATAAATTTATCTCAAAAGCGTAGAACATGTGATAATCACGGAGTGAAGTAATTTCTCCATGTGCATAAATGTAGGGAGCGAAATGACCTTTCATTCACAGAGCAGGTATATTAGGTTGTACTTATAAAGTGCTCCCCCATAATTTCATTCTGCTAAACATGATACGTAAAAGAGTTTTATATTTGAAAGGATAAATTATTTGTATCCTATTCAGTTCAGAATAGATACGTCTAGGTTGTTCTTTGGGTAGATCGCTATTGTTTCAAGTGTAAGCATATTTGGGCCCAAAGCAATAGCCCAAAGCAATAGCCCAGAAGTCTTTTTGTTGGATTGATTTGAAAATTGTAACTGGGTTGAGAATGGTTTGTTCCAGTCTCGGATTTATTCCCTGCCATAGTTTTAAGATAAAACACTTGGTAGTTAATTTGTAGTTGAGCAGCTATCTACGATTGTTACATCAAAATGCTTGGTGGTTAGAAAGCTGGTACCACTACCGCGGAACCCTTTTTTCGTCTAGGTACTTGTTCAATTACGTAAACTATGTTCATCATCAACTGGTACAAGGTGGTGTGGGTGAATCGTGAAGAGCATTCAAGAGTCAGACTCCATTTAGATCCCTGTAATACATACCATACATGTCACGATAGTTAAAAAATTGTCCATAGTTTATTCAAATAAATCAGAAGACTTTTATCATTCTTTGAAGTAGTCAACCTTTGTTCAGCTCCATGAAAACTTCGTTTCCCTTTACTTGCTATCTTAAAATTATCAGTGACCTGGTTTTCTATCTTGATTAGTTCTCATGTTTAATTATTCATTTTCGTATTCAATTTCGTATTCAATATCACGAACAGGTCGAAGAATCTTAACTTTACATAATCATTTTCTAAAAATGATTACGCAGAATGTAGATCTATCGATAATTCGCAAATCAGACTTTCCCAGGGTCAATACCACGTGTAGCCGGACTCAGGGGGCATGGTAGAGAGCAATGGAAAACCTTGAAGACTAGCCAAATAGCACCGCTCCTCACCAAGGGCTGCATTTACCAGAAAAAAGTTGTTTGAAGTGAAATTTGATGAAAGGGTTAACGTTCGAAAGGTCAGCTTCTTAACTCTTCTCTGGACCGAACAAGCTTGGATAATAAAGAATTTATTACATTGCAAAAAGATTTCGCTTTATTAATAATTAAGGATGACTTGTTTACTTCGAGAGCCGGGAAAGAAAGCCAACTGTGTTTGAAGCACATCAAACTCAGGAGAGTCGTTTCTGTTTTCTTTGTTTTGACTATCTTCTGCCGCTTTTGCGTTTCCTTTGCCGAGATTGTCCAAGAATTACGAACGTAGTTCTAATTCTGGTTTTCTCATGCGTGGGATCAATGCGGGCAATCCCGAGAGGGAAAAATGGGCCCATCCTGCCCGCTCGGGTAGCCAATCACAACACAGGATTAACTTCACCTTGCCAACGGGCGCTGCGAGTGATGTAATAAAAGTTAATTAATTCTCGGTCACCCGAGATAGATTTCTCTACCTCAGTAAATTCCCACTGTAAATAAAGTGCAAAACTGTGCATGCCCTAGTCCTGGAAAGTCGTTTCGTTTACTGACTCAAGCGGTTTGTCATAACACTACGGGGTTGTTGACCTTATTTATAACTACAAGTTTTAAACAGTTTGAACTCTAGGTGTTTCAGACAGCAGTACGAGACGAAAACAAGGACTTTCCCTTTTTTTTTCGAAGGACAGAACTTCAGATTCAATTATCCTGGGCCGAGATCAGAAGCGAAAATCTGATCGGTTGCTTTAATGAGCCCTTGATTTGTGAAATATGAAGAAGTTGCTTCTCATGAGTTGCCACTTAACAGTTTTGGAATGCGTCGAGAGGCCGTTGGTAAGCACCATCGTCATCTCCCACGTCAACAATGAAGCTATCCTCGCACATATGATCCGGGCCTTTTCTTTCACAAAATCCCCACACTTCGTCTGTGTCTAACTTGTACTCTGGTCGAGGGATAATTGCAATCTCATCCTCTGCCTTTATGTACGGAACTGATATGTTGCTCAGAGACATCATTTCCTTTGCATTTTTGCGCAGCTCAGCAATAGCTTCAATGTTTTGCTTATTCCCACCCAACACATAGGTTATTGCATTTCATTTCTCCAAACCATTGCAGAATGTACGTGCGGACCATCTAGGTTTTGAGAAACAAAATCACACAAACGGGGCCCTCCCATCGTCAACAAGACCTCGTAGAAGTCTTTTGAAGTAACGCTGTATCTTTTTCCTTTCTTCTTTTTGCAAAGGTTTTGGGAAATTGTATCCAAAATGTTCACTAGCCCTGCCTTTTCTTTTAGTTTTCCTTCTTTGTACGCTTTGGCGATGTTATAACCAATTGCACTGACGTCGCCTTTCTTAAACAAAAAGGAGAAGACAGAGATTCTGCTACGGAAACAGCTCAGAGGAAGAAATTGCCAAGAAGTAAAGCTCCAAAGACGACTGAGTAAGCAAGAGCAAGAACAGGATAAGGAGCAAGGATTACGAGAAGAATTAAGTGAAAAAGAAACAGTTGAAATTCTGTTACGAAAACAGCTCAGAGAAATGGATTGTCTAGAAGCAAGCCTCCGAAGACGGAGGAGGACGGAAGACGAAGGAGTGAAAAAGGGCAACAACTGGAGGAGAACGACAAGGAGATGAAACTCTACGAGAAGAATTTAGAGAAATGGAAGGAACGTTGAGGGAAGAAATAACAGAGAAAGATGCGAGACAAGTAGTTTTGTGTGAACAATTCAAAGAAAAGGACCAGCAATTGAAGGAGATGAAACAACAGTTGACAGCGACAGAGGAGCGAGCAAGAGATCTTATCATAACCGTAACCTAAACCATAACCAAACCATAACCAAACTAAGGAATGTAGAAGAACAGTTGAGAAAGAGTGAGGATCGAGTTGAGAATTTGCGAATGACCCTAAGAGATGCAGGGCAACGATTAACACAGAAAGAAGCACAAGAAGAAAATTTACGTTCAACTCTAAAGTAGATGGAGCAACGAATGACAGAAGAATCAGCAGAAAAGGAAACGAGAGAAACTGAGTTCGTCAAACAGCTTAGAGAAAAGGAAGAGCAGGCTCTTGACCTACAGAGACGCTTGAGCGAGATGGATCAGCAATTGTCAGAAAAAAACGATGAAAAGCAAACTTTGCTACGACAACTTACGGAGATGGAACAACGATCAAGGGAGGAGACAGCGGAGATAGAGATGAAAGAAATTGGGTTTCATGAACAACTTAGAGAAAGAGAGCTAGAAATGAGGGAGATAAGACAGCAGTTGACTGAGAAAGAGCAACAAGAGGAGAACTTACGAACACAACTAAGGGTGCACTTAATGTAACAACGGCTGAGAGAAGAAGTGATAGAAGAAGCTACTGGGCTAGGTGAACAGCTCAGAGAAAGGGATCAACAAATAGAAAACTTTCAGATGCAGTTGGGACAGCAGCATGAACAGCTCAGAGAAAGGGAAGAACAACCAGCAAATGTCCGGATGCAGTTGGAGGAGCAAGAATCTCTTAGGACAGATTTCCAGCACCAATTTGAAGAAATTGAAGCAGAAAATGCGAATCTACGACAACAGGTTGATAACCTCCAGAATAAACTAGGAACACAGTCCCATGACTGGGTTATTTCCCGGGATGACATTCAGTTGACGGGTAAAAGCCTTGGAGTTGGAGGCTGGGGCGAAGTTTTTGAGGGCAAGTACTGTGGCTGTTTTGTTGCCGTGAAACGAATCCATGAGGAAATCAATTCGCCTTACAACCAGAGTTTGTTCCAGAGGGAAATAGATATTGCCTCGCGATGCCGACACCCTTGCCTGCTGCAGTTTATTGGAGCGACCAATGACGAAGAGATTCCATTGTTTGTTACATAGCTGATGGAATCAAATTTGCGCGAATTACTAATACAACGACCTCTTTCCCTCAGAGAAATCACCGTAATTTCGCTCGATGCGGCTCGAGCGTTGAACTACCTCCACCAAAAGAAACCTTTTCCTATTTTTCACCGTGATGTCAGCAGTAGTAATGTGTTGCTATGGCGACAGGATGGCCAATGGCGAGGCAAAGTGTCCGATTATGGTTCTGCTAAGTTTGAGGAACAGTTCATGTACATGTCAATTGGCCCATGGTGTTTTGCCTTCAGTGCACCTGAAGTCCAGAGACCAGCAAACCAGACAGCAAAGGTAGGTCAGTGATCTTACGGAATTTCTTAGAGATTCTTTTTCGTAGCATATAGGTCCTTTGCAATTAAGGATCACATGCAACTTGTGCAACGTACTCTTTAGTCGTGTGCTCGGTCAACTCAAAGACCTTTGAAAACAGCGATCTTATTTTATTGTCTTCTTTTGTCCTGCTATTCAGATTGATGTCTACAGTTTTGGCGTTCTCCTCTGTGAAATGTGCATTCAGACATTCCCTGATTATCAAAACCGTGAACATCAAATCGCTCTGGTAACAGACCGTGTATTGCAAGACCTCGTCCGCCAATGTCTGCGGTCAGATCCCAGTGAAGGACCGGACATAACAGAGATTGTCAGTAGACTGGAACAGTTCAATGAAACGTTGTAGGTTTGTCGGGGTATGCTTTTTTGTCAATCATCCGCATTTTTTCATTAATTGTATAGCTGGTAGTTAATCCGAAATTGTCAGCATAGCTACTATTCTTTAATTTTTAAAACTGTCCAATTTAGGATTAATTTGTATAGTTTCAAACTATCCAATTTAATACTAAGACAGTTTTAAAAAGTTACAGAATAATAGCTTGACTGAACAATGCCCAGTTACAACTAACCAGCTACGTAATTAATAAGTAAGAGGACTACGTGCTTGTCCAATTTTTGAAAAAAATGGACGGCATGTCCTATTACAGATACTATTTCAGTACTCTAAGCATCACACTATTAAAGATGGAGAGTTTATTTTGGAATAAAACTAAGCTAAGAGTCGTTTACAATGTCTATGGAGGGTTCCACTGCACAAAATAATCGCTTTGTATGCACTAAAAGATAATTGTCAAGTTTATGGATGAAGATAAAGCAAAACTTTACAGCAAAACTTCGTAATTCAACAACAGTTATTTTTACATACTGCTATATTAAGTATTTTTTAAGAAAAATATTAAAAAAATTCTTACAGAGTCAACATCCGCGGCAAATGATGCTGTCCTTGACTCCTTGAGACCAAGAGTTTAATCACACTCATATGCATAAATTGCTATCAATAGCGTGGAACATTTGATAATCACAGCCGGAGTTAACTAATTGCTCCATGTGCATAAATGTAGGGAGAGAAATGACTTTTCAGTCATAGAGCAGATATATTAGGTTGTATTGTACCATGCACCCCCATAATTTCATTCTGCAAACATAATGAGTGAAAAATTCTTTGTATTTGAAAGAATGAACTATTTGTAGCCTACTCAGTTCAGAATAGATACGTCTAGGTTGTTAATTGGGTAGATCGGTATTGTTTCAAGTGTAAGCATATTTGGGCCCAAGCAATAACCCAGGAATCTTTTTGTTGGATTGATTTGAAAATTGTAACTGGGTTGAGAATGGTTCGTTCCAGTCTCGGATTTATTCCTTCCCATAGTTTTAAGATGTGGGAGGCGCGGTGGCCTTATATTTGGTGCGCTCGACTCCGGATCGAGTGGTCTGGGTTGGAGCCCCGGCCAGGGACATTGCGTTGTGCTCTTAGGCAAGACACTTTACTCTCACAGTGCTTCTCTTCACCCAGGAGAATTAAATAGGTAGCGGCAAATCTAATGCTGGGGGTAACCCTGCAATGGACTAGCATTCAATCCAGTGGGGGGGGGGGGTTTGGGGTAGAATTACTCCTAGTCACTTCATGCTACGGAAACCGAAGTTAAGCGCCGGCCCGATGAGCCACGTGGCTCATAAGTACGCTTTACTCCCTTACCTTACCTATAGTTTTAAGATAAGACACTTGGTAGTTAATTTGTATTTGAGCTATCTACAACTGTTGCATCATAATATTTGGTGATTAGAAAGCTGGTACCGCTATCGTGGAGCTCTTTTTTTTTTCCCAGGTACTTGTTGAATTACGTGTACTTATCATTAACTGATACAAGATGCTGTAAGTGAATCATTAAGAGCATTATGAGTCAGATGCCATTTAGATCCCTCTAATATATACTATACATATCACGATAAGTAAAAAATTGTCCAGAGCTTATTCGAATAAATTAGAAGACCTTTATCATAATTTGAAGTTGTCAAGCTTCTGTTTAGTTCCATGTAAATTTCGTTTCCCTTTACTTGCTACCATAAAATTATCAGTGACCTGGTTTTCTATCAAGATTGATACAATGTTTATTTACTTTCGTATTCAATTTCGAGAAAAGGTCGAAAAATCTTAACTTTATATAATCATTTTCTTGAAATGATTACGCGGAATGTAGATTCATCAATAATTCGCAAATCAGACTTCCCCAGGGGCCAATACCATGAGTAGCCGGACTCAGGGGATATGGTTGAGAGCAATGGAAAACCTAGAGAACTATCCAAATAACACCACTCCTATCCTAGGGCTGCATTTTACCGAAAAAAAGTTGTTTGAAGTGAAATTTGGATTAGTCCATAGAGAAAACAGATCGGGAGAACTAATGAAGATGAGGATAAGAACCTTCGACAGAGTGGAGTAGCGATAGTTTGCAGACCAAAGTTTGCTTAAACAAACCCCTGAGGTTACGCGTTTATGGTACATCTAAGACGACAGACGCAGGGTGTGTATGCTGTACCTCTCAGTGGCGGATCCAGACGGTTCTTTTTGTGTATGTACACCTGCCGGCTTTTTTTCCTTCTGATATTTGTTTTCCCCCAGAATAAAGGAGGGGGAGTCGAGACCCCCGGACCCCTCCCCTAGATCCGCGACTGCTTAACTGTCTTACAAGTTACCTGGTTAAGTAGATAAATTGTTGTTAAACGTGCTTTGAACGACTTAGCCCTAAAATTTGACAAGTCTGATCGTCGACTGCTGGCTAGACTGACCCTCTCTTTTATGTTAGAAAAGAATTATTTATTCGACGTTTACCATTCTCACCCCGGCCAGCTTGTAATCCAAGTTTCTCTAGATCTAAAACGGAATGATCTTGCCCTACATAGCGTCTATTTTTTCATTTATCTTCCATGCACTTTAACTCATTTTTCAATGACTAAAATTACAGCTAGCAAAGTACCATTTAGTTTTGCACCTCTACCTACGGATCTGTTTGTCATGGAAAACCTCTTACTCTCGAATATAGGGGCAGCGGATAACAGTTTTCAAGCTCAAAGGGGCACTCTTTGTTTCTGAGAAACTGGCTTTGAGCAAGTGTTTTGTTTTCCTCTAGTATGATGAGCTAGGTCGAAAATGTTGTGTGAGTAAAAAGGGTAAGACAGCGAAGAGTAAATGTTAAGCTTAATCGTCTAATAAAGATGTTATTTGTTTTGTCACGACAAAAAGGACAGGAAAAACAATCCGAGTTTCTAGTAGAATGGGGTGCTTCACTCGCAAGGGCTTTCTGTTGCATCGTTCTTAGGTTAAACCAAAGGTCTCAAAGGCATTCACGAGTGCAGGTTCAGAAAATTCTTCCTTGAGTGTCTTTACTGTGTCTGGAAACTGGTAGCAACAGCGGGCGTCCATACCCCACGTTTGGGGCTGTCATTAATAGCCCTACGTTGAAATTCATTCTTCAGCAGTCCAGGAAGTCAACGACCTCTGCAGGTGTTGGGATGAATTTTGGTCACGCTAGATAACCAATTAATTGACTCAAACCTACGTCTAATATAATTTATTATTAACGAATTGCAATTTTTTAAGCTCAAGCAAAGGCGAGGGAACGATAAAAAGGGCTTAAAAGGCTCAAACTACGAAAACAGAATGAAAGCGGGGAAGAGATTCAAACTTGCTGAAGAGGTGTCAGGTCTGGAGATAAATAGGACGAACTCGAGAAACATGCCACGTCTTAAACTGATCGCTGGGGACTTTTTTCCTATCAAAACTCATGAATAAAGCGTAAAGAAACCTCTATTGTTACAAAAGTCACCAGTTGGTCTCGTGAGTGTGATTTAATAATCAATTGATTTTGCCATGTCTCCCATTTGTTTGACCCTTAAGTCTCCCTGCCTTTTCTCATTGACTTAGTATGCCAATAACAATTTAGCAATATGAAAACGGTAACCAAGAAGATTCGTGAGGATGCATACACCTTTCTCAGTATTTGGAGGCAATTAAATTTTATTTGAAATTGTGCTTGTTTAAACATGTCGGCACTTCACGAAAACAACAGTAACACATTCGTTCCGTAACGCCTTTGAATTCACGCAATTAATTGCCAATTCATCATTAGAGCATCATTATTATGACAGAGTTATTTTGTATATTCCGTCGATGTTATGGTCCATGCGTGGAAAAACTCTTATGATCGACATTGAGTCACAAAGTCCGGCTAAGCAGACACGACACAAACATAAACGTTAACTCGCTTAGTCGCTGAGAAAACTTTGCTCGTTCACTTGAATAGTTACCAACCATAGTAGTCATAACGAGAGTCACACCTGAAGATAACTGGAAATCAAGCACAGTTTCGACTTGCTTAATCAAATGTTAATTCATACCCTTTCAAACACTTCATAAAATAATTGTGCCGTAAAGGTCAAAGTTGTTTGACGCAGCTTTTTCGAAATGGTCACGCTATATTTATTTTGTGCGTAGCAGTTGTTTACCACGGAACTGACATATTAAGAATCTCCGTCGTTTTTCTGGGAAAAGTTGTATCTGGTACCTTACACGAGTTACTTAAAGCATCTAACTCAGTGAAGCAACGACGTACTAACTAGTGAAGAAGAGAAACCTTATTTCCGTTCTTCACGGAGGAGCTACTTTCGCTTTCACATCGTGCAACAAGACTGATCTGAAAATTTCTCCGAAAGTTGCAAAATGGAAATTAACAGTGTTCAGAAGGAGAAACCCTGCGATAGATACTCCGATTACTACATCGTCCGCTTTGATCCATGCCAGGAGCTGGTGCAAGGAGAGTTACTAAAGGCCTTATCAAGCTCATACGATTTTAATGTGAAAACATTTGTCCTTGTTTACCCCGCTTACCAGGGAGGACAGAAGACGCCATTAATAGTGCGTTCCACTTGCAACGAAGCGTTTACCCGACTCTCAAACGAAGACGCTAGTTTACTTTTGCCTTGCACTACACCTGAATCAAGGTATCACGTAATTAGTCAGCAAGGAATGGTTGTTTTTGGACGACGTCTTCAGCCGGGGACAGAGGTGCTAGTCTCCTTTAAAGGATGCCCTTGGAGTTTGAATGACGAATTTATACGTGCTAGCGTGAAGTACAAGGGTGAATTGCCGTCTGAAGTTGGAACGTTTTTCGGCTTGCAACTAAAGAGTGTAAGTAGCTTTTGGATCAGTAGAGGAAATTTGAGAAACTAAGAATTTAAACTTTTTATTTGGATGATATTTGGATTCCTATGACAACTGCCGCTGTAGCTGTTATGGACAGTCTATCTTATGACAAGCTCGTCCATACGGGGGAAAACTACTTTAGTTTCAGAGGTGTAAAATCTTTCCCCAAGCAAAAAAGATTCCTAGGCCATCTTTGCTTATTGGCGAATGACGGATTTATACGTGAAATCGAAATTAGAATTTGAGCAATGCTACGCACTGAACTGAATCTCCTCATTGTCATTAAGACAGAGGACTTCAGTGGTCTGCGTTTCGTTTAGTGATAATTCAGGTTAATCCAAAGCCATTTGAACGTAAAGGCCACAATATAGAGTAACACGTTTGATTGGATCTGTTAGAGCGAGGCCGCATTAAGGAGATCAGACCGGAGGTGTGGGTATCACTCGTCCTTCTCAATTTTTCCCGAAACATCGTATCGCCAGAAAATTGTGCAGTCTCTTTTCCCTGTATCGGTGACGTCAATCTCATATACTGCTTTTTATACCTTTTCGGTCATTTTCGATTCAACTCCTTCCATTTCTTGTCACAAAATTCGTGTGAACAACTAGTGGAACCGGTAGTTGTTCAGTTAAGACGATCGAAATCTACCACCATGCCGCAAATCCATCCACTTTGATCATTGATATCATAATCGTTGTAATTAATCATTTTTGGCATTGTTTTCTTTCGAAACAATCCAATATACTCAGTTTCTCCATGGCAGATTCTCAATGACGAGGACCCCAGTAATAAGTTAGGATCTGCCAAGAGAAAATTGCGCTTTGATTTTTAAATCTTCATCAATGTAATGGGCCATATTCCGTGTCCTCATTACGTTTTCCATCAGAATACTTCAATAATTCACTCTTATCCTTGAACGTACCAAAAGCGCAAATGAGTTCAGTGTTGTAACTGCCCCCGTGTTTTTTTACCCTTGTCTAGAACGACGATGCAAGAGGAAGTTCTGTCAGCAATCATTCCCCACAACTTCCATCTTTCTCTTGGGCATCACCAACTGTTATTTTTGTTGGACTGGACAGGCTGAAGCCTCTATTCTTAGATGGAGAAGAACCTGAATATCCAGAACCAAGAGAATTTCACGATTACAAAACACACCTGCAGTATGTTACACGGAAGCATGATCCACTTCTTATATCGCAAGAAAGAACTGACAAAGTATCAGTACAGACTGGTCAGAATGTCGTGACTCTTGCCGTGGGTTTTTCAACCGGAGGAACTAAACTACAGAATAGTAAGGAGGAATTTACAGATGAAAACAAGGAAACAATGACAGGCCTGCTTTTGGTAAGATGCATTGCATTATAACAAACTGTTGGTAGTGAAATTTGAGTTATCGAAAGTATATTTCGGCTAAGAACAGACAACGATTCATCTCAAGTGTCTTATGTGAGTTTACCCTAAATCTTACGCAACTGTACATCTACAAATGAAGAGATTAGTTAGTGTAAATCTTCAAGGAAAAAATGATATTCGAGCAAAATGTTTTCATGAAGCGTTATAGATCTAAGAATAATCAGATTGCCATCCAAACTTTATAGCGCTGTGTGGCATATCATGACATTTTTCAACAAGGCTCTCTTGTAATGGCTCAGGTATTTCCAGCAATCAGGTATGAGAAATTTCCCTCCTTCCTATCCACTTACAATTACTTAGTTCACCCTCTTTTTGGTAAACAGATCGAGTAAACCAGTTGTATAACTACAAGACTTACCAGTTACAAATGGAATCGAACAGTCTCTGTGATACTCTTGTGTTGGGCAGCTTTGGGTTTTTTCCCCTTTAGGATGAGAGGGCTGCTACAGTTAAAATTGGCAAAGGACATGCCTGGAAGCTGTTAATGAATGAAGAGCAAATCGAGGAAGTTGAAACACACCCTGAAAAAGAGTCACCAGGTAAGCACCGCGCCCCACGAATTGGTTAACGAGCGATGATGCATGCAATTCGTTGAGAAACTAGGTGAATCACTTTTTTCGCCGGCTACGTATTTTACTTTTTGCAGACCACCAAATATTATAAACGTACTGATGGTGTTGGTACTAAACAAAGCAGAAACTGCCATAATTTCGTAATCCATCTGGGCACCATCAGATGACATTTTTAGCTGATACAATCCCTTCTAGTGTTAACTGTATGGGAAGGTTGAAGTTGCTTGAAATCATTCAATACCAAAGAAGCTAGGCCACTAAGGGAACGGTCATTGTCTATCGTATGGAAGGCGGGGCGGGGGTTGGACGATTTTTATTGTGTCACGATCAATTGATGCTGTATTATTGTTATGATCCCTCCTTCGTTGGCAGGCAGATAATGGGCAGTCAATTCTACATACTCCTCTGCTTTTTACTTTTACGACTGATCCCCCCCGTTCCTCCTGAAAACCATTTTATCCCCTTCACAATTCCTCCCCCCCCCTCCCTTCTAAAACCTTAAATAGTGTCTGGGCCCTGAAAACTTACAGTACTTACTGTATTTTCATTTAAAGAAAGAAATATTTTTATTTTAAACAACCATCCCATTATTACTAACTGGAACTTTTTAATAAGTATAGGTAATAACACGATTTTGAGTAAAAAGTTTGGTGTTAATAAGCACGAGTGAATTTTTTTAAAGTCAACAAAAATTATAGTCTTTGAAAAATTTTCATGTGCTTATTTACTTGAAATTGCACAACAAATTATTTTATTACTTATTAATATGTATATGAAAAGAGCATCACAGAAAATCAAGATAGACGAAATTATTTAAATTTCATTTGTACATTGCACTCATGTTACATGAAAAATGTACTCATTTACAGCCTGTCAAAAGCGCGTAATTTGTCATGTACATCACCGTCGCCTTAAGTCTTTATGACGTGCCAGACATATATATTATTAACCAAGCGCAAGGGCCGTACTGGGAGAATACCGGCACGAGGTCTTGACAGTACGGACCGAGCGCAGCGAGGTCCGTACAAAAAAGAGCGAGGGCCGATATTCTTCCAGTACGGTCCCGAGCAAGCTTGGTTAATAAGAGATTTATTATACGACTGAAGTTCAAAGGAACACAAGTGCGGTATCATTCGGTACCATTCGGGACAGCGCCCGGTCCAATACTGAGAGAATATTGACCGGCAATGGAGCATTTTGATTGGTTGATTTTAGTTATTGGTCCTCTGACTTCCCGAGTCGTGTTACAAAATTTTTTTAAATAAAACTCACTTCTTTTTAGAACATCAAGGAGTATATTCAACTGTGCAGCCGGTGGAAATGGGACTAGGTCTTAATGAGGTGTATCAGGCTTTTGACGAAAATCAGCCCAACACATCCAACAGAAGAAAAGAGCAAACGAACCAAGAAAAGCAGCTTAGACAGAGAGAAGAATGGGAAGAAATTATACGAACGGACTTGAAGGAAACGGAGCAAAGGTTAAGAAGTCAAACGACGGAGAAAGAATCGATAGAAACATTATTGCGCCTACAGCTAGAAGAAAGGAAACAGCGAGTAACTACTCTTCAGAGACAATTGTGGGAGACGAATCAACAGTGTTTAGAAAGAGAGGAACAAGAAGAAATCCTACGAACAGACCTGGATGAGATGAGGCATAGGTTAAAAAATAAAATGACGGAGAAGGAGGCAAGAGAAACTGAGTTGCATCAACAGCTCGAAGAAAGAGACCAGCGCATAACAAAATTTCTGATACAATTGCAGAGACTGGAACGGCAGTTGAGAGAGAAAGAAGATCGAGAAGAACTTTTACAAGAAAATCTGAAAGAGATGGAGCAACAATTGCAGGACGAAATGACACAGACAAAGTCGAAAGAAAATTACCTGCATAAACAGCTGCGAGAAAAAGATCAGCAGATGGAAGAAATTCAAGAAAAACTGAGGGAGATGGGACAACAGTTGGCACAGGAAGATGAACGAGAGGACATTTTCCAGGCACAGCTTAGAAAAATGGAACAACGCCTGAGAGAGGAAGAAACTACGTTTAATATACGGCTCGAAGATAAAGACATGCAAGTAAAGAACTTACAAAAACAGGTGACAGAAACGGAGACGCAGCTTAGAGGGATAGAGCGACGCCTGAAAGAGGAAGAAACTACATTTAACATACGACTCAAAGATAAAGATCATCTAATAGAGAACTTGCAGAAACAGGTGACAGAAACGCAGACGTACCTGAGAGGGATGGAACGACGTCTGAGAGAGGAAGAAACTGCGTCTAACATACGACTAAAGGATAAAGACCACCAAATAGAGAAATTGCAGAAACAGGTGACAGAGAAAGAAGAACGAGAGCAAAGATGGAGAGAAAATTGGAAGAAAACTGAAACAAGAGAGACATGGTTTCGTGCACAGCTTACTGAGAAAACGCAGCAAGTATTAAACTTTCAAACACTATGGAATATGAAGGAACTGGAGTGGACAGAGAAAGAAGAATGTGAAAAAAATTTACGAACGCATATAAGGGAGTTGCGGGAGCAGTTAAGAGAAAAGGAAAATTTACAGGGACAAGTCAGAGAGATGGAAGACCGATGGAGGAATGCTCAACGACATCTTGCAGAAAAAGAAGTGGAGACTGCTAACTTAAGGCAACAAGTTGCTAACCTAGAGGATCGATTACAGTCAGAGCTCTGCGACTGGATAATCCCTCGCGATGAGATTCAAATATCGGACAACAGTCTCGGAGCTGGAGGCTGGGCAGAGGTGTTTGAAGGCAGGTATTGTGGGTGCTCCGTCGCCGTAAAACAAATCCATGAGGTAATCGTTTCACCTCATAACCAGAGTTTGTTCCAGCGGGAGATTGACATCGCTTCAAGGTGTCGCCATCCTTGCTTACTGCAGTTTATTGGAGCAACTAATGACGAGGGAATTCCTCTGTACGTCACGGAGCTCATGGAAACAAGTTTAAGGCAACTGTTAGAGCAGCGACCTCTTTCCATGCCCGAAATATCTGTTATTGCTCTGGATGTAGCTCAAGCTTTAAACTACCTTCACCGAAAAAAGCCTTCACCGATCATCCACCGTGACATCAGCAGTGGAAATGTGTTGCTCTGGCGACAAGGAAATCGATGGAGAGGGAAAGTTTCAGATTACGGCGCTGCCAAATTTAAGGAACGGAAGATGTCAATTGGTCCTGGCTGTTTTGCTTACAGCGCTCCAGAAGTTAATAAATCTTCGAATCAGACGGCTAAGGTTTGGAAATACACTATGTACTTATCTTTACGGCTTCGTTATCATCGCTTGTCAAAGAGAACTGCATGGTTAATCTGAGATCTTGATTTAATAGAGTGATTAACCATGAAAAAATAGACAGACAAACGGATATTAAAACGGTACGCACATTTGAAGAAAATTCCTCTCCTTGCTTCAAACCAAGAGATGGCTTGTTACTTGCTTTTTTTCGTGAAGATAGGCTGTGACATGTTTACACTGTTTCGAAACGAATAACATTAGGGCTAAAACGCTAAATTTTCATTCCATCTATTTCGTTCCCTTTTGACCTCACCGTTCACCACTTCAGTTGAGAACATCAGATGAAAAGACATCTTAGCCTCCCTCGGTATATTTTTTGGCAAGTTGGAGGAAGAAATTTCAGTGTCCTAGTCTGCTAGGTTTACGACAATTAGAATTACTTTGATTTTCAAGTGTCTGATTAACTGTCTCTTTTATCACTCTTTGACCAGTTTAAGTGATATCAAAACTACTGCATTGTAACTCAGTAACTTCACTATAAGACAACGACAACGATGATGGCGTGCTAGTAACCTAGTAAAGCAAATATTAAGTCATAGTCAAATCCGTTCCATCAGTTCTGTCCTAAGGTACGAGAACTTAGCCAAGGACTAGAAATAGGTATTACTCAGTGAAGAATCTTGGTACACCAAACAAAGAATAAAGATCAATTCTTTGTACAACCTTGAAATGGCGACTATAAAATACACAAACGCTCAGCATTGTACCCGTGACACTAGAGAATTACAGCGGGTTGCTTTTTCGAACTCTCTTGTTCGCGCCCGGCCATACGTCTCAAGGGGAGGGAAGTTTTCCAGATCCAGTAATGTCAAAGTTATTCCCTAGATCCCAATGAAAATAAATATTGTTTTAATTTTTTTTCTTATTGTTTTTTTTCAAGATTGATGTGTACAGTTTCGGTGTTCTCCTGTGTGAAATGTGTACCTTCAAGCAGTTTCCAGACCCCCAAAAGCGCTTAGCCCAGGTCAATATGGTGAAAAACCACGCCCTGCGGGAACTTGTGCGTCGATGTCTGAAAACGAATCCCAGGGAAAGACCAGACATGACAGAGGTCATAGTTGAATTGGAGAAGTTACATTATAACCACAGTTAGGTCATTGGCTTTTTATTTGATCTGTCCGAAATATACCCGAAGAGGAAGAGACTTATTGTTGTGAGACTTGCATGCGTTTATTTATTTTATCTGTAATGGTTGAACATTTTGCAGATATACTGTTTTCGGGCAATGTCTGTGTGGATTTATTTGGTACCAATTTACAAATGTTCTTAATAGACACCGTCAGAAAGAAAACTCTTTTATCAATGTGTCAATAGAAGCTGTTTCGGGGGAGGATTTTCTTAGAATCGTCTAAATTTATGTATTGTAAAGCATTTTACGGTGCCAATAGGTTCTCTCTTGTTTAAATTCGGATCTCAAAATTTATTCGTAGTCCATGGTAAATCTCTAAATAAAAATAAAAAAGTAAAAAAATGCGGAAATGTGTGTTTGCGCTTGGCCAACTCGAAGAGCAAAGTTTTGGATGTAGAAATAACAAAAAACAAACAAACAAATCATAGAAACTATAAGTTTCCAAAAGAAAAAGAGAGGATATTTGTAATGTTACTACGGAGGTCACTTTTTCAGGACATCTCCTCGAAAACTTAACTCTCGTGACAAGATGTACTGGAGACGACATCGCTTTTTATTAATTTTGTTAGTATTAGGATTAGCTCTTTGGATAAGGATGTTTCTGTGACATGTTTACATCACCAAAATACTGCCAAGACACCTAACCACAAGCGTTCTTTCCTGAACACATAAGCACGCGATATGGTGTTATGCTAAGCTGTGTAAGGGTGATTTGACTGCCGTTATTCTGCAGAAATGGCTCACTTTTAATTACGTTTTCAAAATATCGATTTACAGTAAGAGCTCGCTTAAAAGGATGAACCAGTTGGGCTAAGATGTTTATCTTTACCTCCTTTTATTTATTTGTTTATTTTTTACTTTATTTTATTTTTTTATCTTTCTTAATTGAACTTTATTCAACACACATCGGTTATAAATGATACTACTTACAAAAAATACTACTTTACCTCCTTTTATTTATTTGTTTATTTTTTACTTTATTTTATTTTATCTTTCTTAATTGAACTTTATTCAACACACGTCGGTTATAAATGATACTACTTACAAAAAATACTACTTTACCTCCTTTTACACATAGGGACCTGCTTTCAACATTCGAAACAGGTTCTTATTTAATGATGATCATGAGTTATTGTTTATGTGGATTACGAAATTTCGCACGCATGCTGCCAGTCTTCTTCAAACGATGAGTGCGACCGTGATTGCTTAGTTTTCCAACTTTGAAACCTAGGAATTTTTGATGATGTTTCATTGAGCTCTACGCTGTAGCAAGGCCTCCCTCCTGCAGGGTTAAGCGTTCTCATCTTTTTTTTTTACATTTTTGATACAAGGTAGTCTTATTCTTATTTTATAGAATTTGTTTAAAACTAGAAACTCATGTGCCAATTGAGACAAACTCTATGTATCAAGCAATGATAATATCTAAACGTAGATTGACATGTTCACAGTTTATGTAGATACTCAGGAATAAAATTTGTAACTGAAAAATTGGCCCTTTTAGTGACGAGGTAATGACATAACTTATTTTTAAAATGCAACTATGAAAAAAGAACCTTCCCCTGACTGAACTTAATGAGGAGCTGACGCTGAATTTGTATCACATGCTGCAATTTATCTAGTGAAATGGCGCAGAAATTAAGGTTAATTCCAGTAAATTTTGGCGCTGTCGTCTGTCATGAAAAGAAACATCTCCATTCGACATCAAACCTAAAGCAGCTGAGAGGAAATCATTAGATTCTTTGTTACACAAGTAAACCAATCTACGCTAAGCGGCGTTTTATTTGCTGCTCCTCCAACGGACATGTTATAACTACGCTTGCAGCCAGATTTTTCACCGTGACAGAATATTTTGCTTTTGAAACATGGATTTCTTTCAGATTCTTACAAAGGTCTCTTCATTCTTATTTACTTTTTTATCTTTGCGTGATTTGAAAGTATCTATTGCTGTTTAAGAATCAGCTTAATTCCTGGAGAACACCCCGCAATGGCCGGCGGTATTTTCTCCGAAATTAGGTCAAACGCCTACGACTAATCTAATCAATATCATATCTTCACTATGACGGGCTTAATTTTGAAGAATTAGAACGTTTTTATTGAAACATCAAAACATGAGGATCATGCAACACAGGATAAATTCATGAAAAAGCCATTCTCAAACTCGGACAGAACTCGATTTTTCAGGGTTAAAACATACGGTATGATTTTAGCTAAAAGAGCCGTATTTGGCTAGCCTGGGGTCCTTTTTTACTCGGCTAACTGTGCGGCTCACCAGAGCTCCGAGTATTGAGGATGAATTTGTTCTTGGAAACGAGATTAAAAAAAAAATATGTGCTCGGCACCTGATGAGTGAGAATTTTGAATATCATAGCAACTTTGCCCCTAGAAGCATAGTGTTCCTGTGTTGCTTTGCTTTCAAAACCGAGAGGGTCTTGGGAACGAGGCAGCAAAATGCGCATTCAGTAAGACTTTGCCAGAGTTCTTATTACAGCCGACTATGTGCGGGCCTCGACTGGCTTTCATTTTCGTTCCTTGTGTACGTTTACGTGAACGCAATAATTCAAACAGTTGATCAAGTTGTTTTTCATGTACGAGGACTCCCTGGGTTTTACTTTGGCAGTTTTTAAGGGTATAACTTGGATATATCAACAAAGTTGAAGTGGTAAATTGGCCACCGTAACGATTACAAAAGCTGACGTTTCGAGCGTTAGACCTTCGTCGGAGCGAATAGAGGAATTGTGGGTTGTGTGTGCTTTTAAACGCAGAGAATGGAGCTACGTTACTGGTGGGAACATGGCAACCAGAAAAACAAGAATAAATTAGTGGAATGAAAAGCGTTCGTTGATCCCTGTGGGATTTAGACTGCCGGTTTGATTGATGAGCTTTTATTCAAGATTTTTACGACTTTCCGTGCTACCTAAGTGTAAGGAAAGACCGCAGATTGCCATATGTTGCTTAGAATGATTAGGTAAATTAAAATGTCTAGCGACGGAAAGCCGTAAAAATCTTGAACAAAAGCTCATCTTTCAAACCGGCAGTCTAAATCTCACAGGGATCAACGAACGCTTTTCATTCCACTAATTTATTCTTGTTTTTCTCGTTGCCATGTTCCCACCAATAACGTAGCTCCATTCTCTGCCTTTAAAAGCACACACAACCCACAATTCCTCTATTCGCTCCGACGAAGGGCTAACGCTCGAAACGTCAGCTTTTGTAATCGTTACGGTGGCCAATTTACCACCTCAACTTTGTTGATATATCCAAGTTCAAGTTATTTCGTTACTCCCACCGACGCAACCCCAAACAGTTTCTTTCGAAACTATCAGCTTTTAAGGGTATAGATCGTTTTCACTCACGTGACTAATTGCTTAGCAACGGTCGCTACGCAGCCATATTGGTGGACCAAAATTGTAAACAAATCGAGTCGCGCGTCTTCAGTAAGAATTAAGGATGGGCCGATACGGCTTTTTCAAATCGATACGATACCAAGTACGATATTTATTTTTTTAATCGATATCGATATCGATACCGATACTGTGACGTCGTTGAAGTAGTAAGTCACGTGATCTGAGTGACTAAACGAGACATTTTCGCACGGTTTTCTGTTCAGTTCTCTATCGTAGCATCAACGAAACAGTCAAACATGTCCAAAATCTTAATTTATTGGGAGTCACTTTTAATTTTCCCGAGGAAATGAAGAAGACCGCAATGGTAAAATCTTTCTACTTACTTATAATATCAAGCAATCTGCAACTTTCACTTGCATTCATGATCATAAGGTGTACACTGAAAGGTTGGTGATTACAATTTTTTGCAATGCAATCTAAAGTATCATATAGTAAATGGTTTGAACTAAGGTATAACAGTTAATCGTTTCCTCTGATCGTTCATGCAGGAGCACGATCAAGTGTAAATGATACTTTTCTCCGGAACCGTAGACCTGTTTCAGCGATGCTGAACAATCCCTTAGTCTTTTTGTTGACGTTGATGAGATCTTTACTTTACTCCTCAGGGGCATAAATGTTTTCTGTTGAAGATTCTCCAAAAGAAAAAAGGAAGAAAAGAAAAAGACTGATTAGAAACTAAAAAACTGATTAGCAACGTACTGCAAACTTTAGTTAAACAACTCAGTACATACAGGCTCGTGACAAATTCCAACAACAGTTGGCACCTAACAAACGTTGACTTCTTTAACATTAGTGGCGATCAATGATCAGACATTAAGAAGAGTTCCGCCTCACTGTATCGACGAGTGAAAGGTAGCTGGTCACAAAAACGAGCGACACTTGAGTTCTGCAACCGATTGTGGCCTGAAAAACATCCTTATAGTTACAATGAAAATATGAAGTTCATATATATGAAGTTCATATATAAATATATATATATATATATATATCTGATTTATCATCACGGGTTTATTACGAATTAACTTAACGGCCTGCTACCAGTGGGGGTAGAGCGCTGCACTAGTATCGCAGAGGTCAGTGGTTCGAATCGCGTACAGGCCTAATTTTTTTCAGGTCTGATTTTCGCTTTTTGCATAAATAGCGCTCTCTACTGCGAGGATCGTGCATCATACGTATCATTAAAGTCTTACAAACAGCTTTTCTCTGATGATGACTTCTGCTCAGATTATTGATGATGTTTGTCTTGGAAAAGGACTACCATCATCCGAATGATAATACCACTAACGTATTCTTGAATAGTCATAACGAAAAGACCCTACCTCCAAGATCGTCCTGGCTGAGACATTTGTGAGGGTATTTCTTTTAGAGTCAAAAATTTTAATAACTTCGTAGTGTTATCTTTTGTCGAGAGACGAGACCATGGCATTAAAGGAAGATTCTGATGTTTAATACCATTGATTCAAGGATGTTCTTGCTTCTACTAGGCTACTGACATCTTCAGTTTTGGTGTTATCCTGTACGAGATGTGCATCGGGGAACTACCTGATCCTGAAAGGCAAGGACAACAAGTTGCAAGAGTGAAAAACCACGTGCTTCAAGAGTTGATACACAAGTGCCTACCAGAAGATCCTGAGGAGAGACCAGGAATAGAGTATGTCGTTACTGAAGTTCGCCACGGAAAGTTACACTAATTTCAGTAGGTCAAATTCTACACTTATTTCGTGCGTGAATTGTTTTTATTAGTCAATGTTTTGAAAAGACAGACATGAGGCGAACTTGCAGATAGCCGGCTCCACACCCAAAAAACATCCAGCCATCCTGAGAGATTTACTTAAAAACCTTTTAGTTTAGATGATAGCAGTTAGCTTACTTCTACAGTTTATATATCCAATAAACAGACAACACAACATGGCAGACAACGTGAACGTTTGCATGGCCGATACCCGGAAAAGTTAGAAACCACTGAAACATTTTAAAAGCATTGATATCATTGGCTAGTGTGGTTCAGTCTGTTTTGTAAAAATTAAAGAGGAAGTCCCACATTATTTGCCACTGAGTGCTCTTGGCCTAGACTGCCATTTCTCACACAATGGCTAACGGGAAAAGGGCCTTTCAATCGAGTTATTCACGGCGGTCACCGCGAATTATAAGATTTGGCGAGACAAGGATCTTATCCGTTTGGTTGGATGGGTGGTTATGGCATGACCCGCTAAGGATTACATGAAACACCTCTACTGTGAGATTACCGATATTTCAAAAGAGTTAACTAGAAAGCTTTCTAAGAAAAACAAAATATACGAATAGATTTATTGTAGTCCATGGACGTTCCAATGGTGAAGCGGCTATGAAATTGTAATGTGATTTTTATCTGAACAAAGCTTTATGCGTGGTATGTGCGGCGTTATAGTATCTTTATTACCTTTTATATAAACGGTTCCCTTTAAGGGAATAGTCATTATTTACCGCGAGGGGGGAGGGGTGGGCAGAGGATTTTGGGGGATCCTATGGTTGCCTTCGTGTAGCAGTGACACTCTCTGCAAATGCAAGCATTGAATGCGTGAGTTTGTAAGCGCAATGCTAATCGAACATCGTCCTCTTCTTACTCTATAAAAAAATAGCTCGTAATGTTTTCATATATTTTTATCGAAAAGTATATATTTGAATACGGACTCTAATTTGCAAATTTACCCAAAATAAAAATGAATTCACTTCAGTGTTGTGAATAAATCACTTCTACGTTGCTCGAAAGTAACCTGCCTTGGCCTGCTAAGTTCAATGAGGCATTCAGACGGAGCCTGAGGTTTCTCGAAAAGGGATCTTCCCACGGAAATTTTCCATATAGATCTGCACTGAAACAAACAGCGTCTTCCTCCCATTCAGTGACAAGCAAAGGAGCCGTAGAGTGATCATTTATCAGATTCCAGACCGCCATACTGATGATATAAGGTCACGCTGCTCGTTATTTGAATAAATATAGCAGATACTCAGTGATGCAGGACTTGCTCCATATAAATATTCTTTTGCTATCCAAATCGTACAGGACT